AGCTGAGCCCGCTTAAGCGAGCCGCTCGTGGGCTCAGCTTATTAGTCGGGCTCGTGGCTCTCGAGCCCTATTTGTAAAGTGACCAAAATGGTCACTTTTTTTAAAAAAGTGACCGTATTGGTCACTGAATTTTTTTTTTTACTTTTTAATTCCCCCCCCCCCCCTCAAAAACCCCCCCCCCCCCACTTTTTTTTTTTTTTTTTAGTATTGGGTTTTTCATTTCCCCCCTTAAAAACCCCTTCCCCCAAAGATTTTTTTCATATCAATTATTACTCCAAGTCTCTCAACTCTTTTTTATTATATCAATTATCGAGTTTTTACTATCTTGTGCTACAAAATATACAATATCAATTCAATTTTTACAGTTTATTAGTTACAATTTCAATTCATCCAATTCTCAATTTTCACAATCTCACTACATTTATATTCTTCTACTTAAGATTTTAGCATAAACAATCAAACAAATGAATTAACGCTCATTTGTTGAGAGCTTGTTCGATACAGGATGTGGGCCACATCATGCGAATCGCCTAGGATGCCACAAAGTCAATTTTCAAATGAATTTGTCAGTTTAAATGACCTACCGATACCCGAAGATGTTCACATTCACGGTCAAGGAAGTCACAATCCAATTGATTTGGATGATATTAACGTTTCCAAAGCGGAACATGAGGATGAAGATACTGAATTAAACATCTCAAATGCGAGGGGAAAGCAAAAGGTCAAAAAACAAGCAAAATGTTGGTATCACTTTAAGTTGATTTCAATAAGAAAAGTCGTTGATGGCCTTGTAAAATCTAAAGCAGTATGTAAATACTGCCAACAAAGATTGACATGGCAAAAACTCTCAACCGCCACTACAAAGCACGTGCGGCCAGACATGGACTTCTTCCAATTGGTCAAACACAATTGCAATTTGGCAATCCAGGCGCCAGTTCTACAACTTCACTCCTATCCACGTAGTATTCGGAGGACAATACTCGAATCGAAATGGTGAAATTTGTTGCCGCCACTGAGTTGCCTCTGGTTATTGCAGACAACCAACACTCCATCTCGTTCGTGAAAGAATGTCTACAATCGAGGTACGTTGGGGTAAGTCGAAACACTCTTCGTGCCGATACAATAAATTATTTCAATAATTCAAAACAACAATTAATTATAGATTTGCAATAATATGGAGGTGTTATATCTTTAACTTCTGATATATGGGAAGAGGTTAATAAAAGAGCATATATAGCTACAACCGCACACTATATAAACCCACTTTGGTGCATGCATAAGAAAATTATTGCTTTTAGAATTATTGAGTTTTCTCACAATGCTAATAATATATATAATACTATTATCAATATTGTTAGAGACTATCATTGCGAGACTAAAATTTGATCTTTTATTTTTTATAACGCTAGTGTTAATAAGGTAGTCGTCGATAAATTGTGTAAGACACTTCAACCTGATTTTGGTAGGTATTTGTTTCATATTCGTTGTGTGTGTCATATCTTGAATTTAATTGTGTAAGATGGTTTAAAATATATAAAGGATGAACTTCAAAGGATTAGGAATGCATTAGTATATATTACGATATCTCCTAGTAGAAAACAAGCATTTGAAAATTTTTGTGCCAAATTAGGGGTGACGACTGCTAAAACATTTGTTAGCGACGTAGGCCATAGATGGAACTCTACTTACTTGCTATTAAAGTCATGTGAAGGTTTTGAAAACTTAATAACTGATTTTTATAACAATAGACACGTTAGAAGTGATGAAGATGGTATGTTAAATGAATCCGATTGGATTTTAGTTTTGAAAGTTAAACGATTTTTGACATCTTTTTATGAGACCACAAAGATTTTATTCGGCGTTTATTATCCCCATAAGCTGTATAGTGCTTGAACGTTTTTATATAATTGCAAGAACATTCCATAAATATAAAAATAATCCTGCTTTTAGTGAAATTATAATTGTTATGGAATTAAAGTTTAGAAAATATTGGGAAAAACTGCTTATGTTATTTCCTTTAACATGCGCAATTGACCCCCGATATAATATTTCGGGAACTAAATACGTAATTGATCAAATCAATAAAATTTTAATATTTGATACACCTATCACCTATAAGAATTTAGAGCAAATATTATGTGGAATGTATAATTTATATGCGGAAAGAGTGGGTGCGAATGTTAGTCGAGTACCCTCTGCACATACTTCTTCTGCTGAAATTGAAGAAGATGATGTCGAAATAATGAATTTATTTCAAGGCATTAATACATTTAAATATGATACAACTGCAATGTGTTCATCTAATGCCATGTTGTCTACATTTGCATCTCATCAAATATCAGTCGAAACTCAAAATGCGATGTTTGCCGAATTAATTGATTACTTCAATCATAATATGCCAACAGACAGAACAATTTAAAAAAGTTCAAAAGAAGTAATTGAATTCTGGCGAAGGCCAATTGTTTATGCAATTGCGGAAGATCTGCTGACACCTCCGGTTAGCACTGTTGCTTTGGGAGTCTGCTTTTAGTGCAGGTAAAATGATTTTGACTAATGTCATGAGTCAACTGAAAGAATATGTTTTGGATGCGTTAATGTGCGTGAAGGATTGGCAGGACGCTCATTTTCGATTACAAGATAAATACGCTAAAATTGTATGTCGTCAAGTAAGTAATATTTGATTTAATTATATTAATCAAAATTTCTTTATTTTTTAATCGTTAAATTTAATTTTCTTTAAAAAATTGTACACGTTACAACAAGTTGTTCGTGTACAATTTTTAAATCCGCCACTTAAAATTGATGTAACAGATCTCAAACCCGGATAAAGGAGGAGGGTTTACATTTTATCTATTTCAAAAAGAAATCAAAAAAATATTTTTTTTGTAAATATATTTCAAAAAATAATTCGTCTTCATTATATAAATATTTTATACTTTATAAAAAGTATTACAATACGATATAAATAAAAAATTATTTTCGTTAAATTATTTGTATTTTTTAACACTTTCTATTTTTTTTTTTAAATATTTTCTATTATTTCATTTATTTGTAAAACTCATAAAAAAATTAAATTAAATTTGGACGAGCCCAAGCTCGACTCGGCCCACGAACTTGGGTCGCCCTTGAGATTAAGGGCTGAGCCTCGGCCCATTGCCACCACTAGGTGTAGCTAGAAATCATATTATTAGTAAATTTTGATTAAAAAATGATCAAATAATGCGATAAAATTTGTAAGTATACGTGAAAATTAATTATTAAGTTTGACAATGTTTTAAGCTACAGCAAACAGGCAAGTTGAAAAATATGGGTCGCCGGAGAAGAAGTCATTGTAAAGGGTGATGGCACGGTGGTCTTCGTGGATGCGGAAGGGAACATCATGGATTCCATTGAAGGGAAGGGTCCCCTGCCGATGATTTGGGCGTTGTAATCTTCCCCGAGCCTTCTGTGGAGAGAAAGAGGTGTAAGCCGAGTATCAAGACGGGAAAGAGGTGAAAGAAGAATATGGTGGTGGCGCGTTTGAGTATATGAGTGGTAATGCGGTGGTAAGTGCGGGCTGGAGGAAGAAAATAATATCCAAGTTTTATTTCAGTGCGAAATGGAAGTTGATGTTTGGAGGTAAATTTACTATAACGACTTAGTATTGCGGTTTGTTGGAGACACTGAGGAGAATTATTTTCCGAGCACAGAAACAGCAGTCCAGGACAGAAATGGAAAATTTTGTTGGTATGATTGGAACTCTTCTTTAATTGAAGGTGCGATGACCTAACCAGAAGAACACTCCAACATACTGCTATGTCTCGGAATACCAGATGGCAAGACTCATTGTGAAAAGTCGAGGAAGTAATGTAGCTGCAAGTGTCTCTCGCGATCTGAAGTGACACCGCCTCCGGACATTGAAACTGTGCATCCTTTTGGCCGCCATTTTTTGCAATCTCATTTTTCCAACTGTGGGTCCCCTTAGTTTGAATATAAGCAATTCCCCGTGTACAAGGAATTGCTTCACAGGGTCTGGTGCCGACTCTCAGCCCATGTGATTTTTTCTTTTCTTTTTTTCCCTAAAAATGAACCACCCACCCCACCTCTTGTGTCTCTTCTGCACCGACCCTATGAACCACCCATCTGTACACACGTAGCACGGCTCTTTGAATATAGGGAAAAGTTTATGGATTATTCTCCTTGTATAGGGGAATCGGTGCTGCTTGGTGTACATGCAGAACACCTACCGGCACCTCACAGGGGGTGGATGGATTAATTTTTGGCTATTTTTTATTCAGGTGTGGCTCACGTGTTTGTGATTTCCCGGTAAATATTCTGTCAAGTATAAATTTGTACACGGATTTATTCTAGGGGAATAACCTACAAGGCTGTGTAGTTATTTTTTTTATTTTTTGTCTATGTCCAATGGAATGATGCCACATTCATCCTGTATAGACCTTGACAGCCCTTTTCCTCTACACTAAGCAAGTCCCAAAGTTTATTACACTCGATGTTCCACATTTGACATTTTATTTGAAATGCACAGTACAATATGCACTACATTCCAGTTTTACCCTTTCATTCTATTTTCATAACACATTAATGGGTTGAGGGTAATTGCAAAGTTTTCATTGACCAGAAGAGAGTTTTTATCCTTCACATCCCAACAGCTCCATTGTTATTTATATGAATCTCACAAATATATTGACAGTTTTCAATTTTTAAATGCTCTTGTTCTTATAGCAAAATGTGTTATGGTGCCAAAATCTCATAAAAATGAGATACAAGCACAAGCTGAATTTTGATGCAGCATTGACAAGAAGATATTTCGTGGGATCCAGTACTACTACTCTTCAAAAATTACTAATAATTCTTAGATGAACACTGAAAAAAATGTGATGAAATTGGTGAAAAAACAGAATACAATTTTATAAATGGTGAAATCACCAAAAGATGTCACTGCAAGACCTTTCAGCAACTAAAGCACCAAAAAAAAAAAAAAAAATTAGCGCTATCTTTCAGTTTTAAGAAACAAATCTCCTTTTGGCTCAATTTGCAAGAATGGCTTTCAACTGTTTCCTTCCCACTGTCCTCCCAAGCCTAGCCCTTGCTGAACAGTAATAAACCAGCCAAGCCACCATGAAATAAACCTCCATCACGCGCTGAAAACCCAATGAGTAATATCCCCCCAGAACCCACCACAACACCAACCTACCTAGAGACCCGCAAATTATAGCTTCCAAAATCCTTATTTTACAAGCAGGGTGTTCCAACCTCAAAAACATACTGTCCGTGTCTTCCTCAATCTCTATAATATTTGTCGTCCCATCTACAAACACAACCCAAGAACCCACAGAAAATATAAATCCTACCATCAAATCCATTAAGAACCAGAACACTATGAACACTATGGTCTCCCGTTCAGGACCTTGAACCCATAGCGCCAGATTGATAAACGGATCATATATCGCCCTCAAGAAAACCACTACACAATATACATATTCTGAATTTTGTTCCAGCTTGAACAAAACTCTATGACCAGTGCCAGAACAGCCATCACTATCCATTTCATGTAAATAAGTGGCAAAATATTTCTTAGCCCACTCTTTACTACACCAACGAAAAGAATGTGAATGCAGGACCTGTGTTTCCCTATCAAATGATTAGCCACTTGAAGGAGAACAGCCATACGTAACCAAGAAAAGATAACTACAACTGTAACCAGCACCAATGAATAAACATAGCATGCATTGAAAAGAAAAGCTTTCAACAAATTAACATCATGCTGACTCAATTTGAATCCCCTTATCAAGAATCCCAAATCAATCACACTATCGAGATCGTCCAAACTTCTTTCCGTGGTTTTATTTATTTTCTCTTCCTCTATAGATGTCTTGTAAATGATGAATTGCAGGCCCCGGAAGCTGGAATTCCGGGATAGACGAACGGATGTTTCAGAGTATTGTATGAGATATGGGTCGTTTGCAAAGAAATCATTGTACATGGTGTCGACGTGGTGGTGTTGGCTGGTGCGGAAGCGGATGCGGGACAGGAGGGGTTTGATCGAAGGGGCGTTTTCGGTCATTATTGCGTCATAATCTTCCTCGATTCTTAGGCGGAAGTGGAAGAGGAGGAAGGAGAGTATCAGGAAGGTTAAGAGGTGAGAGTAAAATATGGTGGTGGTACGTCTGAGTATATGAGCGGTAGTGCGGTAGTCGATGGGGGGAGGAAGCTCACGGCGGGTCATGGTGGTTTTGTTGTTGAAGAATTGAATTTGGCGGGGTTAATGCTTTCAGTTAGGATTCTTGAAAATGGAAACGTGACTTCGGCGTATATTTAAAAGATAGAAATTTACGGAAGCGTCCCTCACATTTCAGAATTCTTTTAAGTTTAGCCCTTAAAATTTTCAAATACTTGCAACTAATGCGTATTTATTGACATATAAATAGATCTAGCTCAAATAAAATGCTATATAACAATAACATAACTAGTCAGAACAGTTCGAACTTAGTCCAAGAATCGATCAAAGTAAAAGAACCAAAAGATTAAAAGTTGACAAAAATAGATGTGTCCGTCGAATCACCAACTAATTTTATCTATTCTTCAAAGTTTATTTTTCTAGAAACGAAGAATTTTATTTGCTTATTTATTAATTTTATTACAACCACTTGAACTAAGTTTGACTAATTGACCATCATGCATTAATCTTTTTGGATCAACGCTTAAGTTTGTTTTCCAGGCGTTCCCCAATATGATAATAAAATGCAATTATGTAAATGACAGGAGACAATTATGTAATGCTTTAAAGGTTGTATATAAGATAAACAAATTTCTTAGGTATAAAAAAAATAAAAATAAAAAATCTTAATTTACCCTATACAAAACTTGTAATTGTCAAAATTGGGTTAATTTCATTTCTGGTCACTCCAATTTCACTGAAATTTCAGTTGAGTTTTAAACTTGTATTTGATCATCAAACTACATTCAATATTAAGCACAATCCTAGCACTCATTGCTAAACTTAATATGTTAAATCAACATGAAGAAATATAATGCTTGTTTGGTAGACATTTTGTTAATTTTATTTTTTTTAACCGTTGGAGAAAAAATGGATCCTATCTGTAAGAGAAAAATTCAAAAATGACGATTAAAACAGTAAAATAACGATAAAAAAATTAATGTTAATTGAATTAAAATCTTTACTAACTGCTCATAACTTGTCTAAAAGTAAAATTTGAAAATAGACCTTTGCAAGAACATAATTTGGTAGCACGTTCTTTAAAATTTGCGTTCACAACTGGAATAGTTAGTACAGTTACCAAGAAAATTTTATTTCCAGACAAAAACAAAAATTCTAAAGTATGGGAAGAATAAAGCTCAGATGTGAGAGTTACTAATAGGTTTCAAGAGCATATATTTCAGGAATTTTAAGCACTTAGATGGTTTAGTTGTCCCAAAACTAGGTACTTCAATGTAGATACACTGATATAAAAAAATTACTAGTTCCTCAAAAAGAAATTTTGCACCAAAGTCTATTAATTCAACAAACTGAACACCGTACAACTGTAAATGTTGTGCCCTAAGCCAATTTGATTTCGAAAGTAAATACTTATAATATTATTGATGCATTATTATTTATTATGGCAGATCTATTATTAATTGAATTATTATTATGATAAATTTAAGTAATAGAATTTGTAGATCTAAGTCCTGACAACTTGTCGATCACCAGGATTTGTGATTGTAAGATACTAGTTATATTTGACTCAATCTTAAATTATTCGTGATCTTGAGTAATAGCGGGATACACATTTTTTTTATGACGAAAGAACCCGCAACCGCTACATATGTTGTTATTATGGATGGATGAGCACATCTGATTATTTATATATTTTTTCTAGTTCTCCCTTTCGTATGTGATCCATTAGGTTCATGATCAAGATTCTCAAGGGAGTTTGAAGAATTTGGTAGAGACATGATTATGATCACGATTTCTATCTAAACACGAATACTATCCTTTAAGAGAGTTGAAAATTATTTTCATTGTACATTTATAAGTGATAAGTGTATTGTACANACAAGGGCTACACATGGGTATCTCTCTCACCTCTCAAATCACAACCATATCAGAAAAGCATTTAAGGATGAGGGGTCAATTCAATATAAGTTGGAAAGAAGAACAAAACTAGGACATAGATTGAAAAAACAATAATTTGAAAAATCAAAGCTCAGGGTTGAGGATAAAAAACAAGAATTAGATCGTGACATCTTTTTCTTGTATTTATAAATTTCGGGTGATACTTTTCCATTTCTCTTGTTGTTTTATCTTTGAAAACATATTAAGCTAGATTTATTTGTGTTTGATAAAGATGAACCTTTTATTTATTTATTTTTAATTCAAAAAACAAGTAGTTTAGTACTTTTTGTGTGTTTCTTGATTAATTATGCATGTTCGTTGCATTATTTAACTGGTTGGTCACCAATTAGGTAATTAATTGCTTATTGTACTATTGAGAAACTCATAATTAAGTATACAACTACATGATTAACATACAATAGATGTTAAGGATAACATTAGGGATGGCGGCTCGACCCTTTAACCCATGAGCTCGGCTCGGGCTCGGGCTCTGGCTCATGGCGAGCTAAGCTTGTGGCTCGTGAAAGACGAGCCGAGCTCGAGCTCGAGCTCGGCTCGTTGCTTGAGCCCCCTGCTCGGCTCAGGCTCATCAAGCCTGGTTTTGACGAGCCAAGCGGTCGAGTGGCTTGTTTGACATCCTTAGATAACATATATCAAACATACATTCACCTCGATAATCGTGTTATTAAATGCGTTATCACCTAGATCATCATGTAATCAAATGCGTTCTACTTATTAGAATTGAAGCTAGAAATAGAACCAGGTCGTGTCTAGAATAAAATTATCTTATCTTAGAAAAGAAAGTTGAATATGATAGAATTATCGATTGTGTAAAAAATGTGTGAATGAAACTAAATTACAAGTTGAGAATTAGAAATAGAATAATAAGAGGTGGATTCGGAATTCCAACACATATATCCCATATTTGGTTTATAATCACAATAGGTAATTAGTAGATAACTTAAAATAATAAACAATCACCCTTTTTGTTAGTTTACATTCAAGTTCGATAACGGATCGATACAATTCGATTTAAAGTTTATTCATCGTGAGACAATATTCTCAACTCATTACAATAAGTAAATTTCCAACAGCAACAACAAACTACACTTCATTCCCAATAAATTTGGTACTGGACTACATGCATGCTTCTTTTCCATTCTACTGAACACAAGGCGAAAATACTAAAACTTCCTACAACAATCGGATTAGGCCATTATGATAAAGAGACGGGGTCCAAAAATTGTTTAGCCAACTCGTGGCTCCTAAGACAGAAGAATTAAGTACGTCCATAGTAGTTTGTTTAGATGTAAGGCAACATGTTAATGCGATCTTGTGAAGTAGCAAGAAGATAAATCAAATTGCTAATCCACTACACACACTATAGTTCAGCATAACATAAAGTGACAACGGAAGTATATCTAATTACCTATCGAGAAAGTACGTAAAACAACACTAGAGGAAATCATCGTCAACCTTATACTATGATTGTCGAGAACATTTTTTCTTTTTCAGTTTGTTTAGATGTAAGGCAACATGTTAATGCGATCTTGTGAAGTAGCAAGAAGATAAATCAAATTGCTAATCCACTACACACGCTATAGTTCAGCATAACATAAAGTGACAACGGAAGTATATCTAATTACCTATCGAGAAAGTACGTAAAACAACACTAGAGGAAATCATTGTCAACCTTATACTATGATTGTCGAGAACATTTTTTCTTTTTCTTTTTTTTTTTGCAGGCATAGCAAGAAGGTTGCAACACTTTATACACCAGATGAAATTCCAGAAACAGAATACTACATTCCTACCAAGTATACACAATCGCTTAAATGGTGATATCACCAAACAATGACACTGTAGATTTGACGCAAGGCGTTGAGCAAAAAAAGCTCTAAAATTGTTACCGCTATCTCTTAGGATTGCAAAAGAGTCAGATATCAGTATCCTTGGCTCAAGAATTCAAGGCCCGAAATAGAACTTTCCATCAATGTACATAGAGCTCTCCAAGAAGGGCTTGCATCTGTCCCCTCCCAAGCAAATTCCTTGCTGACAAGTAATAAAGCACCCAAGCCACCAAGAAAAAAACCTCCATCACGCACTGAAAAGCCAAAGAACAAGAATTCCCGAAAAATGTCCATACTATCCCCCTCCCGAAAGACCCGCAGATTATCGCTTCCAAAACCCTTATCTCAAGGGCAGGGGTACGGAAAGCTGCCAATAAATGCCAAGTTTCTTGCGAAATTTCTATAATACTGATTGGCCACTCTACTACGGCAACCCAAGTAGCCACGGAAAATATACAACCCACAATCAAATCGGTGCAGAACCATTTCACTGTAAAATCTGCAATCTCCCATTGAGGACCTTGAACCCATGGCACCAGATTGATAAAGGGAATAAACATCACCCTCATGGCAACCACAAGAAACACGAAGAAACTAAACTGCAGAAGCCTTCTACACCCAAACGTTGCACCATTAAGAATAGAGTGATATACCGATCTCTGATTTCCAGACAGGTGATCTATCACCTGAAGAAAAACAATCCCATGTGCCCAAGTGTAGGCAAATGAACTTGTGAAAAATGCAAATGCATAAACCACACGTGAAACGATCCGCAAAGTGAACAACAAATTGACATCATCAAGGCCATTCACGAGACCCTTTCGCAATAACTCCAAATCGAACTCAATAAGTGGATCGTCCAAACTTCTTTCCACGGATTTATTTACTGTGTCATTATTTTTCGGAATTTCAGCCCTGAAAGAGAAGCCTCCTGGGAGGATGATTTGCGGGAACGAGTTGACATGTTCGAAGCTGGAATTAGTGGTATTGCCACCGGATTGATTCGACTGGGGATGGTCATGTGAGTCGCCGGAAAAGAAATTATCGTCAGTACGGACGGGGGAAAGCTGAGACTCTTGACGGATGCGGTGAGCACTGGGGTATTCCATGCGGGCGAGGAGGTCTTTGACGGAAGGTTCGTAGTCATGGGTTAGGCCGTCATACATTTCCTCTACAGTGCTGCGGATGAACCAGAGGATGAGGGAGAGGGCCAGGAATGTAGGGAGGTGACGGTAGAAGATGACGGCGGCACGACTGAGTATTTCAGTAGTAGTGCTGTGGTTGATGGATGGTAGCTGTGGTGGTGGTGGTGTAGGAGTCAGTTGGCGATGTGTGCGGTGTTTGCGGCGCCGGGGCATGGTGGTTTTGTTGTTCTTGAGAGAGAGTTGAAATTGGCGAGTTATTACTTACAGTTGGGATTCTTGAAAATGGCAATGTAACCGTAATGTAGTCTAACCAATATATACGAGTAAATTCACGCAAAACACACACAGTGGAAATTATAAATGACTCCCCCACATTTCGGAAATTTTTGTTTTAACCCCTGAAGTTTTCCAATTTGCACTAAAACCGTGACTGAAGATTATCGTTTAAAATTTAAAGCACAAACTCTTACATTTATTTATTATAATAATAATAATAAAAAGCTGTGTACAGAAAATGTTTCACAGATTTTTGTCTCACATGTCAAATCCCATGTTGTGATAAAAAAAAATGCCTAAAAAATCCTTCCACCCACCCCTCGCTGTGTCTATTCTGTGCAACTTCTGGAAGCACATCAAGGTTCATAAATTGGGAGATGTTAAATAAATACCATAAAATTAAAACCATGCTTTACAAAGATATATGGACAGATAATAATATAAACATTATAAAGATCGTGAAAAATATGCTCTACATGGATATCACCACAAAAAGTTTTATTTTATTTATTTCAATTTGGACATGTTTGTCAAAATTAAACACACGTATTAATTGACCTCTCGTAGACAAGACTGGAAAAATGTACGTCATATTTGAGGGGGGGCCAATTTTGATAATATTTTGAACATATTTTAATAAAATCAAAGAAAGTTGCAAATCTAAAAATAAAGTTTTAATTTTTATTTCATTCATATCATCGTGACTAGCCATGAAGCATCATTTAGGGAAAAACTTAAGCTTCAATCGTAATACCAAATAACATAATTATGCAAATGTGATTATTCGTGGGCCCCATCAAAATCCCTTGCAAGCAATGATTTAAGCGATACATGGAAATTAAAGAACACCTCATTTAAAATTGGGCTTCTCGGGGTAAGTGCAGCCGGACCTCTGGATAATGACATTTGATGCATAACAACCTGCTTTTACACAATCTTCAATGGGTTTCTCTTGAACCAACTGAGACAGAAATCCTCCAACGAAAGCATCCCCTAAAACAAATGTAAATGCAAAGTAATCAAATTGACGAACATTCATCAGGTGCATCTAATCTTTAAAGTTTGTTTGAGTTGGACAGAAACGGGCATTGAGCCGATATTCTTGGACTTGTTGACATCAGAGTATTGGAAATGTAGTACAAATGGCTACCCAGTCTTGATGACGTTAAGGATCACAGCATTTCAATAAGACAGTCATTTGACAGTTAATTTAGCTGTGAACTGTTGCGGAATTAGTTAGGTTCTCTTGAAAGGAATCTTTTCTATTCTTGTTTCTTGTGCTGTTATAAATATAAGAGCATAGTAGGATCCAATTATTGAAAGGTGTGAAAACGAATGTATACAGAGAGCACAAGAAACAGAGCCTCGCACATTTGGTTAAGCTTTAAGAAATTAACTTCATGTTTTCAAAAATTTTGCATAACTTGCTTCTCTCTTATTTTATGTAATAAAGATTTTTCATTTTAAACGTAGATCTTATCTTTTTATCAAAATAATTAACTCAGTTATTTCCAGCTTTCACCGAAAAAATTTATTTACTTATAATTTAACTTTTCAAGCTCTGCCATTATGTTCTAAGGCTGAATTCAGATTGAGTGTGATGTAATCTGCAAGTTTATTCTTTCATTAAAGCTTCTTGAGGGAAATCTTCCATTGTAGGAGAAATTCTCCTGACCATGTAAATAATCTTTCACGTGTTTATGTGATTATTTCTCTGAAACAACTCATGCAATTCAATATTCCCTTCTTCATTAACTTCTAAAAACAGAGGGATACACTAAAAGAAAGAATATTGAATCACATACCTGCCCCATTTGTATCAACAAGTTTCTCTTTTGGCAATAAAATTACAGGGAACAACTTCACCTTCCCATCCTCCGCAACAACAACTGGATCAGCACCCTGAGTAATAACAGTAATTCTTTTGTGTGTTCCAGATGCCTTTGGCCACTGGGAGATTTTCAAAGCTATTTCCTCAACATTGTCAGTCTGGTCATTAACAGCAACCAATTGTTAAGCAGATTATAAAGGAACATGTAACTGTGTCAGTAGATCTCATGCAAAGTCACCAATACCTTCCAGCCATGAACTTTGGAGAAAGTTCGTGCTTCCGTTTCATTTCCAAAAACAAAGTCTGTATACCTAAACCCAAAGAACAAGCCCTTGATTAACATCTATAATTCACATTCAATAATTATTTGAAAGAAAAAGACATTGGCCTTACGGTAATGCTTTCTCTTGCACATCCTTGAAGAACTCACAGATAAATGGAGCAGAAAGGTTCATCATGAAAACCTGCAGACGTACGAATGTTCGGGAGGCAAAAGAGATTACATCACAAGAGGCTGTTCTGCCAAAACGGGGGGCAAATTTAATGCCTAATTTCTAACCTTGTTGTTTGCAGCTGCATGCTCAGCAACAAGCATGATGGACTCTGGGGAAACTGTGAGAAAAAATCCAGCAATGTAGAAGTACTTTGCCTTTTCAACTGTCAAAATATTGACAAGTTAAATTGATTTGCTAAAAGGGAAAACTGCAATTTACCTCTATGAAATTCCAACAGTGTGTTGTTTCACCCCCTTCTAGTTGGGAAATAACCTATAGATTTCTTGTGGTTTCCAAAAGTCTAAAGATCACCCTCTTCCCATTAAGTTTCTGAACAGTGTTAGTTTATTTTTTTAGGATAAAATGACCAAGGTATCCTCTGATTAGACCACAGTTCTCTTTTTCTATAATAAGGATAAATAATTTTTTCATGAAAGTATTAACAACAGAAAACCGACTATATGGAAGGGTTGAGGGAAAAATCAGCAAAAATACCACGACGGTCTATTAGACTACTTCCAAACTACAGGGGAGAAATTGACAATATCAAACCAAAGGGGAGGCGTGTCAATTGCAATTTTATACTCCATAAAGAGCATGACTGATGCCAACAGTAAATAAGCATACCCAATGACCAATTTTCCGGTTTCTTCAAATGATCAGATTTGTAGCAATTTGCTGCCGACAAATTGGCCACGAGAGATCTGCAAACACATATCACATAAAATGTCAGTCAAGTATGCTCAGAGTCATTTGTGTTTGAGGCCACATCAGAGAAGCTCAATTTTGCCTAAGTCAACACCCCCAACCCAACCTAGCCAGCGGTCTCAGCTTCTCTTGTTTGAAAAACTAGCAAGAGTTATTTATGCCATCAGCTCAAAGATCCAAGACCTTGGAACAAATATGAGGCAGTTTCCAACAGCATCGGCCTTTACACAAATTGACATCTACTTGTTTCACTAAAATAGTTACAAAAGCAAAAACATCCATTGATTTAAAAGTCACATAAAGTATTATACAAGACCCATATGTAAATGCTAGCAAGCTAGCGTAAACTGATTATGCATCAATTTAAATGGATGTCTATTTGCTTTAGGATACAAAATGCACACTAAGTCACTGGATAATGTAACCCATCAATCACTACAGCATGTATTTTCTGTTAAAGATAGCATTCTTCTATTCATTGTTAAAACTTTTCGTACAGCGGATATCCAAGAAGAGCTCCAAAAGATGTTGATCGTAAATGAAAAAATTGGTTACGGAGGAAGATGAAAATAGATTTGTATCCACGTACATGAGAAATATACAAGAAGAAGAATAATCTGACCGACCCCTTTAATCCAGTTCATACTATATACCACATTTTTTGTTGCAGTTAAGTAGGTCGTAAAAGTCTAATTTATAATCCCTGGAAATTGTGGGGCCAAGGGACATTAACAAGATAGCATCCTTCGACAGAGTAGATTTTGAGCAGCTACAGTTACACCCAACTAAGCAACAGATTCTGAATAATAACATTGTATCAAAACAACAATTCACATTAGCTAAAACTGAATATTCTTGAAGTTATTCTAAAGGTTTTTGCAACATGTATTCGCTAGGTTCCTTGGAGCTAAAGAAGATATTGTCGCCTAGAATGATTTGGCCCACCCATGTCATTGAGTCATTGAAGCTGGAATGACTCCTTAGTCGGTCCAACTTAGTATAAACATTGCTCAGACGAGTCTAGTTGAGGTATTTTTTTTATTCATTTTGGTTATATGTTTTTAATTTTCATTACATTTTCTCATCTTCTCTGCCTTTTATTTTAGTGGTCTTCACTCTTCATGTATAATCCAAAAACAAGGGAGGATTGCTGCAAAAGGGATAATAGCTTTTTAAAGAAAATGGGAAAACAGGAACTTGACCTGGCTTGATTTTGGTCTACCTACGTTACAGGGGAGTCCATGATCAAGCTGGGAAGACCCCCAGCTCAGGTTTTGAACTTTGTTCTAGTGATTTAAGCTTTCCTAGTTCGCATAGATTTTGGGGTCATTAAGGCTTGATTGTTCAAGAAAAAGTAAACAATTAAAGAACCATATTATAGTTCCAAAAAATTCTGGTTTGCTAAGTTTTCAGTCGAAAGAACTAAATATGAAGTGTACCATCAATCATTTTTATTATCTTGACAGTAAAAGCATGTTCCCTTGCTATGGGTGAAACGTCTGGGTATAAATTCTACAGAAAAATGAAACATACCATTTTTAATGCATAAGAAGCTGTGGAATATTATTGTTTCTTCGTTGTTTTATAACTATTCGTATGATATTGACAACACCGTGATTTAAATTTTCTAAAAATCCAAAAATTACAAAAATCAAATTTTCAGTGCACTGGAAGATATGGGTTAATAGAAACTAAAAGACAAGTTTACATAATTACATGGCAGACAGAAAAGAAAATCTTAAGCAAAAGCCAGGCACTGACCTTTCGCCACCCACCACACATACAGCGCAAGTACCAGTGGGAGACTCATCTTCGTAGTAATGAACCTAATGTTGCCATGTGCAAGAGAAAAATATATATATATTTATTATTCCGCTATTATAGAAACTGTTATCGTTTGAGGCTTTTACGTGTTATAGATCTAGAAGAAAGAAAAATTAAGGAATGAAAGATAACATAATGATGGTGTCGTGACATGTGATAATGACAACAACAATGGCTTTTAAGTGAATACACTGTGTGTATAATGTGGTCAAATTCAAGATAATGTTTATTGAAGTTGACAGATGAAAATCACGGTGGTAATGTTGATGGTGGTTATATCAACAACAGAAAAGCTAAAAAGTGCAATCAAATAACTAACATTAACACCAGCTTGTTTGGCATTTTTCTTCATTTCCTCGCCATATTTGTCCTTTCCAATTGAGCCTATGTAACTGGTTGCACCAGGAATTTGAAGCATCCACTGCAAATGGAAAAACGAATTTCATTCTTTTATGCAAGCATTTAAGTATAGAATTGATAAGAGTTTCAGAGCCAGAAAGAAACGGCAGATATACCTGAGCAACTCTGATTGAATTCTGTGTAGCACCTGCATTACCAAATTATAGAAATCATCAACAATGCTCACTCGTATATTAACAGAGAAGGTTATATAAACCATTTTCAAGAATTAAATTTCATACCGCCAGCAATGTACTCCACACGGTATTTAGATGACATTTCATCATACCTGAGACATGCACAGAGTTCTTTCAGTGGTAATGAAGTAACCAATCTTTTTCATGAAAACATGATCCTCATTTTTTTTTGGGACGAATCTTGAACATTTTTTTCTTAGTAACAAAATTATATAATTATTTTCCCAGTAATTTTTTGGACTCATTATTTTCTAGTCAAATATGAAGAAACCTAGCTTTTGCAACTTCAGATCAACAAAGAGAAAGACAGCATTAAAACAGCCTACCAACCAGGTAAAATCCCTCTACGGAGATAAAAAGACGCATACTTTATCATGACAATAGGAACAACATTATAGGTTCAAATTGCAAGGTAAAATCTTACAGTCGTAGAAACCAACTTTTGAAACTTTTAGTTCTCCAAGAACAGAACAATCAAAACAACCTACCTGCTAGCTAAAATCTCCTTTATGGAAACAAAAGACCATTGCTTAGTAGGACAAGAAATGAATCATAATATGGGTTAGATTGCAAAGTAAACATCTGATGGAGGTGCGGTCTTCCTGCTAGACCAAACACCTCATCTAGGTGACGAGAACAATGCACTGCAAATATTCTGGTTAATCTTATTTACTTTTCATGTTTCAGGTATCAATAATTCCCTGAAGATTATCTTTTCCTATGAAAAATCTATTCAGCCTAGGGAAAACTACAAATAATACTTTTAATGCCCGAATTTGGAGAGAGTATATTGAAGTAAGCCAACTTCCTAAGTTAGATAATTTGCAATCCAGTATGCATGGCCACTGTTACAATTAAATCAAAGCATCATATACCATTACAAGAACATTCTTAAATGGTTCACAGAATCTGTGCCTGAGGAATTTTTTTGACAAAGTTAAGTTTGGCAGCACATTCTGGCAATCAAAATGCTAGATGGTGCTGTCCAGTGCCCGTGATGACTTCATATTATGAACCCACAAATTATTCGTTACTGCAAATCAAGCCACACATGGCTAAGTTTTCTGTTTCCTATCTTTTTAATCTCTTCTTTACTTTACTACAAGGGCATTTCCATGAAGAGCTTTTCCAGTGACCAATATATAATCTACAAAAAATGCATTACAGAAGGAATTGCAATAATTTCATGAATTTATTTCTTCTCTGGTGTTAATTTGCTCGTTTAGCAGCTGGTTAGTAGCAGAATACGCATCAAACTCCTAGATTTGACTTGGAAACAGTAAAAAAGTTACTACATTTCAAGTTAATTAATATTAGTATAACTGCTACGAATAGCAAAATTTTTCTAGTTTACAATTCAGAGTGGCAAATTTCAAGACTCTGCATAAGAAAATTCACAGGTATTATGAAGTAAATAAACACCAACAATGACGAAAGTATTGCAGCAGAACGGTGGAAGATCCTTAGGAAGAAATCCAATCACTAACCTAATTAGTAAATAAAGTTTCCATAACTGCAAACTATCAAGAAATCACTTACATAGGCACGTGTTTTTCCTCTGCAAGAATTGCATCGTTCAATTTAATACCATACCTGTCATACAAAAACAAAAGCCACAGTTGAACTCCCTCGATTCGCACAATATTACCATTAGAGAACAAAATAACTATATCGAACACGTTGAATCGCAAAAACCAAATCTGAGATCTATAATATAAACAAAAAAACACAAGCCACTTAAAAACCAATAATGAAGCCCACACGCAAACTAAACATTCACAACGACTCAGATCTGTGAAATCAGATGACACCAAATAAAAGCAACAAGTGGAAGCACCAGATCTCAGCTGCAAAAACGTATATGTTTAGAAAAATATACAACTACGTGGATACAGAGAATTTGAGGAAGAATGAGAAAGTACTTGGCTAAAAATTCTTCATCCACAACCGCTGAAATATCCAAAAGTGGATTTCCCATTCCCATTAGAATTCCCTCGTACGACATTCTGCTTAGTTTTTCCTGCAGATTCGAATCGAAATGTGAGTGATTGTGAAGAGAGAGTAGCGAGTGAGGCTGCGAATGAAATGGTGTGTAATTTGTCTATATATAGGTCTAATGTTAGGAGAAGTAGGTGGGTAGAGTTGGTTGGAGGTTGAGATTATTTTCGGACATAATTTCTAGTTTTCTCTACTTTCGTTCGCAGTGAATGTTTGTACCAAAGGACTAATATCCAAAAACTCAGCAAGGTACAATAAAATGTTTAAATGGAGCTATCTTAAATTTAATCGTACGGTGAACATCAGCGGAGTCTACAGTTTTGGGGTGCGGCCGATTATCAAGATTGTGTGTAGGTGTGTCACAATCATTTACCAACCGTATAACAAATTAACATAAAAATAAAAAAAAAAAGAAGGAAAGTTGTCCCTTTTCTTTCTTGGTACATGTGACATAGTTATTAAACTCGACCCAAACATCGATCCGATCGAGATATCGGGTTAGTGGTTGAATCGGTGGGTCATTACTTAAAAATTCTAATATATATATAACAATAATCTATTGAGCTCTAGTGATTAGGTATTGCCCATCCCAGCTTGAGATCCAAATTCAAGTCTTAAGTCTTTTAAAAGCCAAATATTTAAGAAATAACTTTTGAAATTCGGTCAGCAATCAACAGCCCGATTTGAAATAAAATTCGGCTCGATTTGGTAAGAAAACAGCAGGTTAAATCAGTTAACCAACGGGTTAACTCGGTCATTTGCATTTGTGTAAAACTATGGAGATCAAATAGAGTCATAAAAACAATCTTAAATACAAACAGGGAGACTTGATATTACACAAAGGATATATTACGAGAGACTTTTAACTTGATTACCACAAACACACGAGAACTATATGTTGGGAAAATGAGTGAATTGGCTCACTTTGGCAAAATTTTCGGTGGGGCCCGTTGGTCCAATTTGGAATATCAAAGTTGATCCTTGTTTTCCTTCGTAAAAGCATCGAAACCATATATTTATTTGCCAAAATTGACGAATGGATGAATAAGAAATTGGAGCTCAAAGATGACCATTGGAAGATAGTTTATGTGGGAAAATGAGTCTAGTCCCACATAGGAAAATAAAGAAAGTATTAACCACTTTATATAGGATTGCACATTGGAATGGTGTAATCATGTGTAGTATAGAGACTCTCTCCACGTGCGCTCGCGGGAGGGGGGGTGCAAATCACGGACCGAAATTACCTTCGGACCTTGAACTTGTGTGCGGGGTACGACCTGCATACACGAATGTCGGACCGAACGGAGAAAAAAATTGGCATGTTTGGAGTGTCCACATTTTGCAATTTTTGCTTTCTTCAACTGACCTTTGAGTTTCTTGAAACTGCCAAAACTCTCAGAAACTGAAACAACTCCATTATTTATTGTTATGGAGTTAATAGGCAGATTTAAACTTCTATAAATTGCCATTTTCTAGCAGTTCCAGGACAGAAAAAACCACGAAAATAGGAGGAAAGCATTCTGCATATTTTCTTCCTGTCTGCATCTCGGTCTCTGTCCAGTATAATTTTATAGTGATATTGTTCGAACATAAACTCAATTCACCGGAGTAGTTTCTGGGTTCTCAGACTCTGCTGGTTTTGCTGTTATATCCTAGGAAACAGAAGCTCGGGCTAGACTTCAAGTACTTACAGTGAGGGAGCGAATCCGTTTTAAGGGAACTGTGTTTACGTAGGCCTCGGGTTAAAAGTTTATTTCCAAATTTGCTATGCTTTAATTATTTGCAGAATTATAAACCTTACAGATTTATTTTAGCATGCTTTCAGATTTTATTTAGCTTTCTGAAAGTTATATTGTTTTATGTTTTGCAAATTATATAATTTACTATTCTTATTCAAGTAGTTTAATTTGTTTCAATCAGATAATATTTTGTATATATGAACTAGGATATGAAATTGTGTCTGTGAAAATTCAAGTTCTGTGTTATTTAAATTATTTTATGAAAACAAACAGTTTGTCCCAAATCTGTGTTGTTTAAGTTATCATAAAGTGTGAAATTTCGGTTGTTACGTCACTGTCATATAGGGTGAGCTATATATGGTGAGCTAACTAGCATATACGGTAAACTGACAAATACGGTGAGTTGCACTGCCAAATACAGTGAGTTGCACTGTCAAATACGGTGAGTTGTACTATCATATACGGTAAACAATTGTCAAATACGGTAAGCATGAATCCGGTGTCTAAAACGCAAATACGGTATATGAGAACCCGATTCCACTTCATACACTACCGATTAAATTTTCCAACAAACTTAAAACATATTCGTAAAGGAAAAAATTGGTTTCTTATATTGTTAATTTTAGAAACTAATTTTTTTGTTTGATTTTCAGAAATGGTAAATAAATCGACCAACATGGATGTAACCCAAATTGTGCCTACTAGAAATCAGGCTATGGGCTCAACTGTAGCTCAAGAGCCAAGCTTTGTGGTGGCTCAAACTGTGGCTAGATTGTCAAGTCATGTTATGAGTCAAACTGTAGCTCCAACAACTGGCCAAACGGTTACTGTTCCGGTTAATCATGGAAAGAAACCAGAAAAATTCAATTGCTAGACCACCTTGAAGAGATGGCAGAAGAAACTGCTGTTTTACTTGACCACCTTGAATTTTGCGAGATTCTTGACTGAGACTGCTTTTGTACTCAATGAAGGAGAATGACATATTCAAGCAATCAATGCGCTTGATGCTTGGAAGCATTCGGACTTTTTATGTTGAAACTAAATTATGAATAGTTTAGCAGACATACTATACAATGTGTATAGTACTATGAAAACTGCTAAGGAACTGTGAGAGTTTTTGGACAGAAAATAAAAAACTAAAGATGCCGGGGCTAAAAAGTTTATAGTCGGCAGATTCCTAGACTATAAGATGGTGGACTCCAAAACAGTTATTAGTCAAGTGCAAGAACTCCAAGTGATTCTTCACGAAATTCATGCCGAATGAATGATTTTGAGTGAAACTTTTCAAGTGGTTGCAATTATTGAAAAATTGACCCCCTTCCCCCCCCTCCCCGCGCTTGAAAAGATTTCAAAAATTATTTGAAATACAAGCGAAAGGAAATGGACGTTGAAAAACTTATTGTTAGACTTCAAATTGAAGAAGACAACAAAAGTTCAGAAAAGAAGTGGTTAAATCCTAGTGTGGCTAAAGCTAATGTTGTGGAACATGGTCAAAGTAGTAAGAACTGCAAAAACAAGTCTAGACCATCCGGTGGCAAAAGGACCAAGTTAGGACCAAAAGGTGGAATTTCTAAGAAGAAATTTCAAGGAAAATGCTTCAATTGTGACAAAGTGGGCCACAAGTTTTCAGAGTGCAGATTGTCAAAGAAGAAGAAAGAAGCAAATGTGGTTGATTACATGGCACAAGATGTGTCGAAGCTGAATATCTCAGCCGTCATTTCTGAAGTGAATATGGTGGGTTCAAATCCTAAAGAGTGGTGGATTGACATTGGTGCTACGAGGCATGTGTGCTCTAATAAGGAGTTGTTTACTGCGTTCAAAGCAATTGAGAATGGGGAGAAGTTGTTTATGGAAAATTCAGCAACTTCTGAAATTAAAGGTCAAGAAAAGGGGGTTTTGAAGATGACCTCGGGAAAAGAGCTGACTCTCAACAATGTGCTATATGTGCCAGAAATTCGTAAGAATTTAGTGTCCGGGTCGCTTTTGAATAAGTATGGTTTTCACATTGTATTTGAGTCAGACAAAGTCATTCTATCAAAAAGTGGAATGTTTGTCGGAAAATGTTATGTTTCCGACGATATATTTAAGCTGAATGAAATGGTTGTGAAACCAAAAATGAATAAAGCAAATTCTTCTGCTTATTTGCTTGAATGTTCCAATTTGTGGTATCGTAGACTAGGACATGTTAACTATGATATTTTACAAAGACTAGTTAACTTGAATTGCATACCCAAGTTCCACGTTGATTCAAAACATAAGTGTGAAACTTGTATTGAGACAAAATTGACAAGGTCATCGTTTAAATCAGTTGAACGGAACACAGAACCACTTGATTTAATTCACAGTGACGTATGTGACTTAA